GAATATAGCGACCTGTATCTAAAAACAGATGTATTGTTGTTGGCCGACGTCTTTGAAAATTTCCGCGACAGTTGCATCGCGAGTTATGGGCTAGACCCCGCGCACTATTACACCTTACCTGGCTTCACATGGGATGCCATGTTAAAGCATACTGGTGTAAAATTTGAACTGTTGACAGACATCGACATGGTCATGTTTGTCGAGCGCGGTATACGCGGTGGTCTGAGCCAGTGTACAAACAGGTACGCGCGAGCCAACAACAAATACATGCCGTCGTACGATCCATCGAAACCATCATCGTACTTGATGTACTATGACGTCAACAACCACTGTATGGCTGGGCAATGTGTCAACCATTGCCCTACGCCGATTTTCGATGGGTCGACGACGTGCACAATTTCAATTTTACGACCATCGCGTTAGATTCGCAGACAGACTATATTCTCGAAGTGGATTTGGAGTACCCGTAACATCTTCATGACGCGCACACTGACCTACCGTTCTGCCCAACGCGAGAGAAACCACCAGGCAAGCGCGATGACAAACTCCTCGCAACATTATGCGATAAACAGCGTTACATCATACATTATCGCAACCTGCAGCAGTATACTCGTCATGGTCTCCGTATCGCAAAGATTCACCGTACACTGCAATTCACGCAATCTCCATGGCTACGCGATTACATAGAATTAAACACAAAATTTAGAACTTTGGCCAAAAATGATTTTGAAAAAAATTTATACAAACTGATGAATAACGCGGTATTTGGTAAGACCATGGAGAATGTGCGCGATCGTGTCGACGTAAAATTACTGAAAAAATGGGAAGGCAGATACGATGCGGAGGCAATGATCGCCAAACCAAATTTTCACAGTCGCAGCGTCTTCTGCGACTGTGAAAATGACAGAGAACCTGGTCGCGATAGAACTGCGTAAGCTCGAGATGAAGTTCGACAAACCGATATTCGTGGGTATGTGTATCCTCGATATATCGAAAACATGTTTGTACGAATTTCACCACAAGTACATGACACCGGTGTTTCGTGAAAAATGTAAAATTATGTATACCGACACAGATAGCCTCATATATCACGTAGAATGTGATGATATCTATGATATGATGAAACGCGATATAAATAGATTCGACACGAGTGATTACGCAGTTGACAACGCGTACAGTATTCCGCTCGCGAATAAAAAAGTTCCAGGCCTTATGAAAGATGAGAACAACGGCGCTATTATGACCGAATTCGTAGGGCTTAGAGCGAAAATGTACGCTTTACGTGTACAAGGAAAGAAGGATACAAAAAAGGCAAAGGGTGTCAAGAGCAGCGTTGTGGCAAAATCCATAACGTTTGAGGATTACACATGCTGCTTGAATGATGCAATCGAAATGACGCGCAGACAGTCGTGCATAAGATCCAAACTGCACGAAGTGTACACGATATCGGAAACAAAAATCGCTCTAAGTCCGCACGATGATAAGCGGTATATCGTATCAGGTTCCACCGACACGCTGCCATGGGGGCATTACCAATGTAAATAAAACACAATTGTATTGTATAATATGTTTAATACTTATAAATGTATAAATGTATAACACAATTGTATTGTATAATATGTTTAATACTTATAAATGTATAATATAATATGTATAATATGTATAATATAAATAAGACGTATACTATGTGTACTATGTATTATATAACATGTGTAATATGTGTAATATGTAGATATAATATATGTAATACATATTTATAATGAAGAGTATACAATATTTTTCAATATATATATATATATTTATAAAAAATTTATACATCTATATTTTTGAATAAATATATAATTTACAACACATTGTCTTTATGAATCCACGAATTGTGTGAATTGTCAAATCCCAACCATTTCACGTAAACCTCGTTCCCCCTCTTGCGCAACACCTTTTCAACGAGATGCACGTCGGGATTAGCGACGCTGTGCAATTCGTATTCGTAGAATCCTCCCGCGATAGGCTCTCCGCGAGAATCTTGCAATAGATACGTCACTGGATTAGTTTACTGCACTTTGATAATTTTAAACTCCGCGCTCCAATTCGGCGTGTATCCTTTACCAAAGACTGTCTTGAATTTGCTCACGCGTACCGAATCACCCACTTTGTATCGCGCGGGTGCGGCAACCTTTACGCGATTGTAAACAGTAACTAAGAGTCTGTCGGCGATCGCGGGGGTAACTTCGACGGGACGCATACCGATAGTTCGATGCTTGCGCGCATTGTAATTTGATACGAGACGTGGTAGAATACCGATCCATTTATAATTTCCATTGTGCGTAAATTGTTTCCACATGTCGTTCTTCAACGTACGATTGAACCGTTCGACGACCGACGCTTTCATTACGGAATACGTAGAATAATGGTTGATGTTGTGCTTCTTCAAGAGTTTCTGCACATCCGAGTTGTATAATTCCTTTCCTTTGTCGGTCTGCAAATTTTTCGGACATCTTTTATCGTCTCGAATTATCTTTGCGATTGCATGCGTCACATCGTTTCCACTCTTGGCTTTAAG